GGCCGCCAGCATCGGAGCGCGCGCACTTAACCGCTAAGCCACAGGGCCGGCCCCCAATTGCATTTCTATACACTAAAAATAAACATGTGGAAACCAAACTTAAAAACACAATAACATAATCACTTCAAAAAATAAAATACTTAGGCATACACTTAATAAAACACGTGCAGGGTCTTTATGATGAACATGGGTGTCACGTGGAGGAGACGGCTAGCATGGCTAGGAGTAGGGAACAATGAACAAATAAGTAAATATACTGAGGAAAATGCGAGCAGAGTTCCTCACTGCTAGCAAAGATATCTATAAACAGAAAAGATGAGAAAGAACCCCTGAAATGTGGTGTTGGATTAGAAATGGAAGTAATGGTATGAATTCATAGTTTTACAGTGTGTGTGTGTGTGTGTGTGTGTGTGTGTGTGTATATATACACGCATGTGTATAAATAATTGTAGATGTGTATATTTGTGTGTTGTATCCGTGTGAAGCCACACCTCTATTTCCTAGCTCTGTCCATTGAGAGAACCTAGAAGAAATGACAACCCAGTAGCAACCAGCACACTGAGCACCCAGAACTTGGTTTTTAAATAGCATCCTCTACTAAAAGAAACCAGGGCTCCTTGGAGAAAGATCAGATTCGAGACTTAGGGCAAGAGAGGTACAGGATGAATCTGGAATATCTTGCTATGCCAGAGAACATGTCAAAAAGATACAGGAGCCAGCCAAAAGGAGCTCCTACTGCCTTCTATTGGGAAGAATTTGAAAATTAAAAGAAATGATTTTATTTATTAAATAAAATATGAATACACAGATCTATAATAATAAATGAATACATAAATACATAGGTGAGAAGTGAAAGATCTTCCTTACAGTAGAATGCCAACTAATAAATGCAGAAGGAATGCTGAAAATACAGAGCCACTCTTTGACAACTATCATATAGAAGGTCGATTTAGGCAGGAGTTGTCAATGGACTCTACAGCTGGTAGGTAGAGGTTTGATAAGGAAAAGGATTAAAGTAATATCAGAATACCTCTCCACAGAATACTAATCAAGTACAAAGAGGGAAACAGTGAGTTTAAAGTGGATAAACCTGGTAGTCATGAAGATGACCAGATGGTCAGGTTGCACAGCATCGGGTCTGCAATTCCACGCACTGGAATTTCTGCAGACAATGGATGACCTGAGCTGGGTAATGAGGAAACAGGGTCATCTTAGAGAACGTAAGCCCTGTATTCTTTAAAACTGATAAGGACATGAAAAGGAACTGTTCCAGATTGAAGAAGTCTGCAAAGATGTGACAATTAAATGCAACAGGTATTCCTGGACAGAATCCTGGACCAGAAAGAAGAACGTCATGGTTGGGACAGCTGGTGAAATCTGTGTATAGGATGGTAGTGTTGTACTGAAGCTGATTTCCTGATCTGGAGAGTTGTACAGAAGGTATGTAGGAGTGTCCTTACTCTTTGGAAAATTTGTGTTGACAGAGAGAGAGAATACAGAATTTAAGGCTAATATTTAATAATAAAACATATAAAACAAATACTCACCAATGACTTTAACAAAATAAGCATCTGCTTCAAAGTTATTTTTTAGTGTATGGATGGCAAAATCGTTCTTTGTATATCCTTTACTTAGTACTACAATGTCCAAGATTCCCTGGAAAAAAACATATACAAAAAAAGTAAGAAGAAACTACTAGACTGACTGAAAAAACGATGAAAATGCATGGCATGCTTATCATGTATATATAAAGCTTATCTATTCATCTTGATGTTTAAAATAAAAATACTATTAAAATATATAAAACCTTGAATAGTAAAATATAAATAAAATGAAAAAATCTGCAATTTTAATCTCTGGAGATAACTGTTAGCATTTTAACATATTTCCTTCCAGTCACATTTGCATGAATTTTTATAGGCCTATGATATGGACTGCAAACCATTTCCAACCATCAGAGAAAGAGTACTGTTCATCTGCCCTGGCTACCACTGCATATTATCATTTTCTTTCTCCTAAAAAAGGGAGAAGCTTTGCTAATTTTATTTGTAGAAAAAAAAAGTTGTGCTCATTTAAATTTCCATTCCACTGACTCTTAACGAGGTTGATCATTGACCGTATTTTTTCATGTTAGCTACTTCTGTTTTTTCTGTAAATTGACTATGTTCTGTTTTTCCAGAGGGAGTTTTGGTGACTTCTATCAGTTTGTATACACCCTTCTTGTATTAAGGATATTAATTATTTGACTATTTCATAGCAAATTTATTTCCCAGATTTAAGAACAGTTTTAAATTTCATTTATGATGTTTTTATGTACAGAAATTAAAAATTGATTTGTAGTCAATTCTCTTGATTCTTCCCTTGTGATGTTTTTGCCAATTACTTTTATGCTTCCAAGCAGTTTCCAAACTGCTAATAAAAAGTGAAATAATACGAGATTTGGTAGCAGAGAGACAGAGGAAAACAAGGACCTGGATAATTCATATAATTGAAAATCAGCCTCTTATAAAAAAGAAAAGAAAATCAAAAATGGGGTTGCGAAGACATACATGTCCTGATGGGCATTTAACTTTTTAAAATAATCAAGTTATTTCAGAAGGATATACTGTGATATATTAACTCTGGAATTTAACATATTTTTATCAAAATTTATTATTTTTCTGAGTGGTAAACTGGCTTTCACATTAGAAAGGAGGAAACCAGGGCCCTGAGCACCTTTCACAAGGTCACCTGGCAACTGAAGACAGAGCCACGAGAATCTGTACAATATATGCTACCTCTAGTTCACAAGTTAAAAGAGTACTGAACTCGTTCTTCTGGGATCTTGTGCAGGTCCAAGCATCTTTTATCTGTCAGCTGTGCTTTTGTCTACTGGTGCACGTGTACATTTCCCAGTCTCAGAGCATGATTCTCTAGAGGTTTAATCTAAATAGCACAAAATGAGATAAAGGCGTTTTCATATTTCACTGTACTGATCAACCAGTGCTGTCAATAAATCGTCCCCTCTGCCATTTAACATTAAAAGGGGCTTTCTTTAATTAACTCATTTGCTTTCATTATCTCATCTACATTTTCTGGTCAAACAGGGTGAAGTAGAAGTGAGATAAGGTGAAGGCAATTAGACTCCACACACACAGGAGAGCTCGGAACTCACATCTTCATAAATGTCAAAGAAGGTGGCAACCACAGCATCTCTGATTTGATTTAGGTCCATCAGCTCCCAGTAGACTTTAAACATGCGATGTGCCCCCTCACAGCTTGCATTATTACAAGGGACATTCTCCAGTAAAAAGGCCTGTTGATTGCTGTAAGACAAAGGAAAGGTGTTTAATTAATATAACACATCAGTGTTGTATGGCATCAGCCGCGCTGTATTTCTTGAAATCAAAGGGATGGTAAACAGTATGTAGTGAAACAATATAAAAAAATCTCCACATCTTATTGACTTCTGTACTGTGTCATAAAAAACTTAAATTGTTGGCTATGCTTTGTCAGCCTTTGGCAAAAATCCTTTGAGGCTAGTTGGTTGCTAGCCTCGCTCTCCTCTTATGTGGAGCCTCCAAGTCCATATCTCCTTCCTCCCTTGCTACTCTACAGCCATAAACCCTGTATTCCACTACTGAGCTCCTGGTCACTGTCACTGTCATTGTCCCTTTAGATGTGTATAACTCCTCAGGTGAATACGTGCATTTAGCCTGATATCCCTAAGGTTTGTAAACCCAAAGCAGTGAATCTGTAATGACAGAATTTCAGCTTTCCAGACAGGCAGTAGGGTAGATACTGCTAGGCACCTCTCAGATAAAAGAAGCATTGACTTTGTATAGCTATGAAGTCCTCCCTCTTGAATCCTACTCTACAGGTAAAGAGGCTACGAGCTTCGATTTGGGGGCCAGATTACCTGGATTCAAATCCTGGCTCTGTCATTTAGAAGCTATGTAAACTTGAGCAAGTTATTTACCCTCTTCAAGACTCAGGTCCTTATTTGTAAACTGAGTAAGGAGAGTACTTATGTCACAGGATTGCTGTAATAAAGAAATGAAACACTGAACGCAAAGTACTTGGAACAATTCCTGTCATCCAGTTAGATCTCAGGAAAAGTGTTTATACTATCATCATTTTTATTTATGTAGTGCAACACCATGCCATGTAAAAATATTTCCTTTAGATACAGAAGTAACTTTTGTAAATAGTGTGATTTTCTGTAATGGCTTCCACTTGTATGCATTTTCCAATATCTACAATTCCTTCACTTTCCTCTAGGTACATAGAAAATAATAGGCTAAAGGGCTTAAATTTCACTACATTCAATTTTCTCTAATAATTATTTTAAATAAAACTATAAAGGCAGATTTCTTTTTTCCCATATGAAAATATTACTTTGGGTCTGGGCGATTTGGAAAAGAAAAAAAAAGCTCTATTAGAGGAAAGGAAAATTTCTTAGTGTTCAATGCAGTAAAGAAACCTATGTACAAAATATTCAATTTGCATGATGTACTAAATATATGATTGACTTTTCTAGATAAAAAATTCCAACACAAATAGTTTATAATAACAATTCTTTATCAAAGAAAAAAACCTCCTAGATTATAACATTTACCTGGAAAACTTTGAGGTGACTTTGCTCAAGACCTAACAAGTAACAGTGTTCTTGGACTAGAAGGAATAATGATTTCTTCTTTGTCTCTTGTCTAATAACTGATGTTTAAATTCTAATTTGTAATATTCTTTCCAGGTAATTTACTCATCCTACCTTTTTAGCTAAATAATTTTACTAGATATTTCACAGAAATAAAGAATACTCTATTTTGTTATTAGGAGATTATATTAAAACATGAGAACATGTGATAAAGGCAGCCTTTCTACAATCTCCTCTAACCAATGCATCATACTGCTTAACCTGAGTGAGCGTGTGCCACTGGTTTCCGTCTTCAAAGGTAATGCGTGAATCTCACTATTATATTCTAACTCCGGCCACAATTTCAAATACACAACACATAACCTAAAACAAGAACTCTGATTGCAGCTGCACAATTTAAAATGTCATTTTAATTTTTGTTATGAGTTTGTAAAGATTATAAATGCCACACGCCATGGTTCTTGTCTCATTGCTTACTAACTAGCTTAGTCTTGCACTGTGGAACTTGGGGTCTGTAAAATTTCAGTTCTTTTAAATTCTACTGAATTCTACAGGTAGAGCTCAACATCTTAGCTTTAAAAATAAAATTCCAGGGGCCGGCCCCGTGGCTTGGTGGTTAAGTGAGCGCGCTCCACTGCTGGCGACCCGGGTTCG